CCTTTTAATAAAGTGTTTATCATAATTTGTCAATATAATTCTTAATGTTTGTTACTTTTCTCATATATTTTATCTCGTTGTTGCATTTGTTAATCATCAGCGCGTTATCGCCATTATCGCCATCACATGCTGAATGCCCTTCATATATCGCAACTTATCGCCTTTGTTATGAAGTTAACTCGTCCGTATACTCATCATCTGTAATGATGATAGTCATCATGCTCATTATCATCATCATTATCCTCACCAACGTACACTTCGTTTTCTGATGCATCATATAATTCTGTCATTATTATCCTCCCGCTTTGCTTCTGCTTCTAAAGTTATTATCAATTTCTCCGGATCTCATTATCTTCTTCCTCTTTACTTGTGTATGAGACGCAGCAATATTATCTTAACCACCATGAAAAACCTCCCATTTTTCAACATGTTAAAATCCTGGTGTTGCCGCCTTTTAACACCTGTTGTAAATACCTCTTTCACGTCAGGCTAACTCCTTTCACGTTTTTGTTATTCATTTGTTTTCTTTTACATTGTATGCATGTAATATTGAGATATTTTTTTCTTTTCTATGATATTTAATAAAGCCAATACTAATTTTCTCTCTCTTTGTAATATATAATTATTCATCGGGTTGTTTTATTGCAAATATTTTTTTTTTTAATATTTATTAGTTTATTTATTCATGAACGTCGCTAATAATGTAAATCCCTCTTTATTTTTCTTTAGTGGCAATATTGCTTAAAACAAAACAATGTTAAATTTCTTAACATTCACTGAATGTTTATGTACACAACCTGTCTTAGGTCAAGCTAAATTCTACACAACCTGTCTCAGGTTAAGCTAGGTCAAGCTAAATTCTACACAACCTGTCTCAGGTTAAGCTAGGTCAAGCTAAATTCTACACAACCTGTCTTAGGTCAAGCTAAATCCTACACAACCTGTCTTAGGTCAAGCTAAATCCTACACAACCTGTCTTAGGTCAAGCTAAATTCTACACAACCTGTCTTAGGTCAAGCTAAATCTTACACAACCTGTCTTAGGTCAAGCTAAATCTTACACAACCTGTCTTAGGTCAAGCTAAATCCTACACAACCTGTCTTAGGTCAAGCTAAATCTACACAACCTTCTTAGGTCAAGCTAAAATCTTACACAACCTGTCTTATAGGTAATCCAAAGTCTAACAATCTTACACAACCTGTCTTAGGTCAGTAATCCTAAATTCTGCCTAATCTTACAAACCTTCTTAGGTCAGCTAAGTCCATCACAACTTGCTAGGTCCACCTACAATATTTATGGCTTGGCAGAATAGCTGACATATTTGCTAAAATGAAGCTATATCTAACGTAACTCATTAATTTAAAGACAACGTTTCGCCCACACAGTAGCTTCATCAAGTAAACACATGATACATGCAACATCACATATTTTGTATGTAATGTGTTACATATGTCATGTATTACCTCCCTGACCCGATACTTTTACTTTCAGTAAAATTTATCTCTGTGAACAGCATCCTCGTTCCAGCCTAAATACATACATACATATATATATTATATATATATATATATATATATATATTATATATATATATATATATTAATATATATATATATATTATATATATATTATATGTCGTACCGAATAGGCAGAACTTGCGATCTTGGCTTAAATAGCAACGCTCATCTTGCCATATAGGACAAACGAAAATTTGTGTATTCAGTTATTTCGCAAAAATCAATCTGAACCTAACGAAAAAAATATATTTCACTGTGTTTGTTTAGTATTAAATTATTGTAAACAAATCTAAAATATATTTAGTTAGGTTAGGCTAAAATAAATTGTTCTTGTTATAATAAGGTTAGGTAAGTTTTCTAAGATTCTTTTGGAGCAAAATAAAAATTTTTTACGTTAACATTACTGAAAAAATATATCTTTAAACGTATAAGAGAAAATTTCAGAAGGGACTTAATTTTAAATGAGTTCTTGCTAATTGACCAGTTTTACATATTTGGCACGGCGCATATATATATATATATATATATATATATATATATATATATATATATATATATATATATATATATATATATATATATAATATATATATATTACTCTTGTTTCATATATTAATCCCAAGTAATCTATTATTCCTGAGTGGTGTATTAGTTTATCGGATAAAGTAATTATTTAGATATTAACAGTGTTGATATTACGAGTGTTGTGGAGAATATTTATTAAGTATTGGAGTTGCATTTGTGGTATTAATAAAAACAGTAATAATGTGACTATATATTTTATTAATAATATAATACAACAATAATAATGATTATAGTATTAACGAATAGTATGTAATTATATAAATTTTAGCAATAATAATAATATTATTTATTATTGTTATGAACGTGGCTAAGAATTACACATTTACAACATTGTACATCATTTGTATATCTTTCATCATTTTTTTTTAGTTTCATTATTTTATTGTTATGTTCTCCAGGTGGCGTCCTGCGTCAAGAAACCAGCTATACGCAATACGCAAGTGGTGTATGGCGTCGCTGTGCTCATCTACTCCTATCAACTGCATTGCGTAAGTACCCGAGTTCATAGCTCGTGCGTATGCTGTTGAGACTTGGCGTATGTTTCTTATAATGCCGTCTACTTGTGCGGCACCGCAGCATCTGTGGGATGCGGCGGTGCGCATATTAGCAGCGCAGTGATCCATTGCACTTGCCGGCAGAATGTGTGTTTGTATACGCTAGTATTTGCGCATGAGCACATGCGTATTTAAATAATGAGTCTTATCGGGCGCTATGCACTTTGAGCGCAGGCGTATCTTTTAAAAATTTTATACGTATGTGCGTAAAAAAATCAACGCCCTCGTTGGTATGTGTCGACTCGATAACGGGTGGTAATCCGGTTTGATCCGAGGAAGAGGAGGGTAGCTCTAATCATCTTGGATCAAGAGGCTTTTAGCATTAGGGCTTCATCATCACGTGGTGAGTATGGTGACCCTGTGAGGACGGATGCCTTTATGTCGGCGAAGGGCTCTTGATCCAAGGAATTAGACCTGACCTTCCTTTACTTGGATCATACCTGACTGCCTCCCATTTCTTCCCTTAAGGTGCCATGGGGCCCCTACTGGTTTAGCTCTCCCCGTAAATATAATAATAATAATAATAATAACGATAATAATAATAAAATTAAAAATAATAATAATAATAATAATAATAATGATAATAACGATAATAATAATAATAATAATAATAATAATAATAACAGTTGTGATAGCAAGTCTTCTTAAAAGGATATTGTGATTACACTCAAAAGAAGGTAGTAATAAACTTTATTAATTTTTAAATGCTTTTGCTGACTTTTCTTCTTCTCTCATTGTGATAATTATTATTATTATTATTATTATTATTATTATTATTATTATTATTGTCATTATTATTGTTGTTCTTTTTAGTTTTTTCATTGAAGAAACGTACATGAATTTATAAATATTTGCATATAAAACTACAAATAGTTTCTTGCTGTTTGTTGTAAAAAAAATTTGTACCTAAATGTTTGATTGCAGTTGTGACTGTTGTAGCTTCACTTCATGTTTGAAATATTAAGTCTATTATAAAGCTATGTAAGTTTAAGTCGGTTGAAAATTAATATGGCACAAGCTATATTACTTTGGTTTGGTTACTAAATTCATGACTCAATTAGAATTTTAAACTAATTGATCTTGTGATATTTTAAAATTAATGCTATTGTAATATAGTTTTAGATTCTGATGATGGATGAAGAAATATCTGAAACTTGTACACACACACACACACACACACACACACACACACACACACACACGCACCCCACACCACCCCACAAACACACACACACACACACACACACACACAACACACACACACAATATATATATATATTATATATATATATATATATATTATATATATAATATATATGTGTGTGTGTGGGTTGTGTGTATGTGGTGTTGTGGGGGTTTATGTGTGTTTGTGTGTGTGTGTGTATAACAAGAATCGAAGTATAATAAAGTAATTTTTTTTTCAAATATACACTCGAATAATTGTATAATATAAGCAACAGCAGATTACTGAGGCAGTACTGAAAACTCTCGTTTCTAACTTGCTGATACTTCTCCGGTGTAGAAGGGGGTTATTGACCCCCTTCCTCCGAGGGGTTAATTCTTCCTTTCCAAGGAGTAGTTAGTTGTCAGAACCATATTATTATTATTATTATTATTAGTGTTTATTATTATTATTATTATTATTATTATTATTATTAGTGTTTATTTTATTATTATTATTATTATTATTTTATTATATTATTATTATTAGTGTTGTATTTGATTATTATTATTAGTGTATATTATTATTAGATTATTATTATTATTAGTAGTTTAGTTAGTAAGTTTATTATTATTAGATTATTATTATTATTAGTGTTTATTATTATTATTATTATTATTTTATTATTATTATTATTATTATTATTATTATTATTATTATTTTATTATTATTATTATTAGTGTTTATTATTATTATTATTTTATTTTTTATTACTATTTTCATTTATTCGTTTATTTATTTATTTATTTTAATTATTTTGTAAATAGGAGAGGATATATTCGGTTATCTTGTTGAGAGGGTAATGCCAACAATATTCAGTACCGTTAATTTAAATCATGGACTGCAGTCATTATCGTTTGAAACCTATCGTCTACTCGAAGATCATTCAGGCTGCATGTACTGTAATCAGGCTATTTTAATCCCTAAAGTAGAGATTGAAATAAATTCTCAAGGTATATAGATATATACACAGGATATATACACCTCTCGGTGTATATATCCTGAGCATTAAACTTTCTTTTTAAACGCAGACGTAAAGTTTATATAATTCTTTGTATTTTCATTATAAACATCCGTTGGAAAATAAATTTCGTTATAAATAAATTTTTCATGAAGTGTATATATAATATATATATATATTATATATATATATATATATATATATATATATATATATATATATATATATATATATATATATATATATATATATATGATGTTGATGATCTTGGAAAACTGACGATCATCGATAGATAAAATTTTAAATTGCTAAAAATATTTGTGGATGTTTGCGTGTCTCATGATCTTTAAATATTTATGAAATTTAATGTTATATTGTGTATCAACAGTGAAGATGCAGAGTAAAAAATGTATTATGAGTGCATAAGTGTGTATGCTCTCACGTGTGTGTTGCGGGTGTGCGAAGCGGTCGTGAGTACATATGCAGTTTTGTATGTGTACGTTTTTGTGAGTGTGCTTGTGTATGAGGTCAAGTGTTTGTGTGACTCCGTGAGTGTGAGTGTGTGCGCTTGTGTGAGTGCGTGTATGTGATTCTTTGTGTACGCGGTTTGCATAAGTGTATGTTCACCAAGGTGCAGTCTCCTTATTTCTTGTATTTATGTGTGTGAAGGGGGGAGGGGGAGTGTGTGTGTATATATGTATGTATATTGTTAAGCGGGCAAGTATAGTTGGGTGTACCGTAGCCTGGCCAGCGATACACGTGGGAAACTTTATTAGGGAAAAGATGGAAATTTGAACGCGTTCAGCGCTCAAGTAGGAATCCGTCTCCGCCTTCGTGATCGCTAGCCAACCAGATCTCGTTCATAAAAACTCACTGGTTGACATATTACCCAACTTACACCACGTTACATATTTTTTTTAATCCAAATAGTAATTTTATAGGTTAGATTAAGTTATTTTCCACTTAGACTGGGTTATGTTAGGCCACCACTGACGTGTTAAGAACGAAAGTGGGTTGTGTAGCGATCACAAACGCAGAGACGAATTCCTACCTGTGCGCTGAACGAATTGAAATTTCCAGATTGTTTTAATAAAGTTATCGTAGAAGTGTATCACTAAGCAGGCTAAGATACAAACAACTATACTTACAAACGTATAAACACACACACGACACATCTAGGTGGACAGTGTCTTGTAGCATCAAGTAGGTACCACCTGTGTCTTGTAGCATCAAGTAGGTACCACCTGTGTCTTGTAGCATCAAGTAGGTACCACCTGTGTCTTGTAGCATCAAGTAGGTACCACCTGTGCCTTGTAGCATCAAGCAGGTACATCCTGCGTCGTGTAGCATCGAGTAGGTACCTCATGTGTCTTGTAGCATCGAGTAGGTACCTCCTGTGTCTTGTAGCGTCAAACAGGTATCTTCAGGGTCTTGTAGCGTCAGCAGGTACCTCCTGTGTCTTGTAGCGTCAAGCAGGTACCTCCAGTGTCTTGTAGCGTCAAGCAGGTACCTCCAGTGTCTTGTAGCGTCAAGCAGGTACTTCCTGTGTCTTGTAGCGTCAAGCAGGTACCTCCAGTGTCTTGTAGCGTCAAGCAGGTACCTCCAGTGTCTTGTAGCGTCAAGCAGGTACCTCCTGTGTCTTGTAGCGTCAAACAGGTACCTCCAGTGTCTTGTAGTGTCAAGCAGGTACCTCCAGTGTCTTGTAGCGTCAAGCAGGTACCTCCATGTGTCTTGTAGCGTCAAGCAGGTACCTCCAGTGTCTTGTAGCGTCAAGCAGGTACCTCCAGTGTCTTGTACGTCAAGCAGGTACCTCAGTGTCTTGTAGCGTCAAGCAGGTACCTCCATGTTCTTGTAGCGTTAAGCAGGTACCTCCAGTGTCTTGTAGTGTCAAGCAGGTACCTCCAGTGTCTTGTAGCGTCAAGCAGGTACCTCCTGTGTCTTGTAGCGTGGTCTAAGCATGTACGTCCAAGTGTCCTTGTAGTGGTCAAGCAGGTACCTCCAGTGCGTCAAGCAGTACCTCAGTGTAGCGTCAAGCAGGTACCTTCCAGTGTCTTGTAGCGTCAAGCAGGTACCTCCAGTGTCTTGTAGCGTCAAGCAGGTACCTCAGCTGTAGGTCAAGCAGGTACCGTTCAAGCAGGTACCTCCAGTGTCTTGTAGTGTCAAGCAGGTACCTCCAGTGTCTTGTAGAGTCAAGCAGGTACCTCCAGTATCTTATAGCGTTAAGCAGTACCTCCAGCGTGTATTTGTAGCATCAAGCAGGTACATCCAGCGTGTACTTGTAGCGTCAAGCAGGTACCTCCAGAGTGCATTTGTAGCGTCAAGCAGGTACCTCCAGCATGATAGCGTAGCAGTACCTCACATATAGCGTCAGCAGGTACCTTCAGCATGTAGCGTCAAGCAGGTACCTTCAGCATATAGCGTCAAGCAGGTACCTTCAGCATGTAGCGTCAAGCAGGTACCTTCAGCATGTAGCGTCAAGCAGGTACCTTCAGCATGTAGCGTCAAGCAGGTACCTTCAGCATATAGCGTCAAGCAGGTTCTTGATGTCACACTTTATAATCAGGAAAATTTCAATTTATATTTTTTTCCTCCTTGACGATGATGATAAAGCAAGTATTTAGAAGTGGAAATTAAAGCTTGGTAATATTAGGGGAACCTGCAAGTGACGTCTCAAATCTAATATAAAACCATAATAAGCGCTTATATTTTTAAGGTATTCCTTCCATTTAAATCCTCCTTACAGAATAGTAA